TATCATCACCTAACAAAGTTATATGGCGAACTTGTTAGCAAACAGTGGCTTATTTACACATACGCGTAGCAACATCAGCATCAATTTGGTTTCTAGTGACTTGATGAATATAAGTCCAATAGCCACTCTCCTTTTAACTCCGTTTTGGTCTCCACCAACTCCTGAGAAAAATAATTTTAGCTTAAACCGATAAGAGCTAAAACAGTAAAGTTGTGGACGGACTTATTTTTGCAACCAGAGGAGTCGCCCCTTGAAGGCCAGTAGAAAGAATGCAACTGTAAGACACTTCCACTGACTCAACTGTGGCAGTTACACAGCAATACCTAAAAGTTGGCTAACATGAGCCAGAAAACAGCAGGTGAGAATTTAGCATCAAATCCATTCAGTACTGTACTGAAATAGATATGTCAAGGATGCGTTTTATTGCTTAGGAATTCCATTTTTTCTACTGTAAGAGAAAGATTATATTATCTCATCTCTATGAAGTTACACATTCTTAGCCCCCGAGGATAACTTCTTCTGTAAGCTTGTTTATCTCATTCTTTCAGTAATATAACAGGAGGAGACAGCCTGGTCGTTGCCACACAGAGGTCTGTCTCAACCTGCATGTCTCTGCTCCCAGGCAAAGAACCGCCAGGTACAAAGTTACACCACAGCTCTGTTTATTTCACATCCCTCCTGTGTGGATGTATGACAGGAAGAGTTTGGCACAATTGCTGCCATTCATACTGTTTCGACGAACTCCACACAAGCTCAGTCAGGTAGAGATAAGGAGTAGTTTAGTGAAGGGGAATGAACAAATTAGTATGATTTATTATATTAATAAAAACACAATACATAAACTAGTGTGTGCTAAAGCTAAAGCTCCACCATAAACAGATTTATACCAGGTGAAATGATTGGTCCAAACATGGGTGTGATGAGCATTGGAATATGAACATAAGCTGACAAGCACAAGACGTGCATCCTCTTTGAACTCCTGATTTAAAGATAAACCTTCTAATTATCACAACAAATTAAATATACAGACGCATGCAAATCACATGCAGAGTTTATTGTGACATTATGAGACATGATGGAGAGCCTCAGCCTGTTTGACCAGTGCTACCGTCAGTCACTCTCCCATTTTCACCACAGTTATGGCTCTTTAACCGCGTTCCTGGCCGAATACAAGCGAGTTCTGCCCTGGATTTATCAGTAATCATGAGTCTGCTGCCGGTGCCAGATCATGTGGGATTTTGTCAAAACAGCAGAGAAAGAGAGAGATTACCTTTTGTGTGTTGAAACCTCATTACAGTGAACACGGAGCTCAAGTTTGTGCTGGGACAGTGAGGAGAGTCTATGCTGCAGGGTAGAGCCGAGTTTAGTAACTGTTGAGGTTTTTCTATCTTCACAGCCTGCTGAAAGACCCAACATGATAACAACTGTGGATCCATTTCAAGTAATAATATCCTTCATCTCAGTGATGCTAAGACGTGGGGTAACTGTGATTGAAGCTGGTGACGCAGACAGCAGCCTCCTTTTCTGAAAAGTGAAGCCACAGCTGAAGTGCCTTAAAACCTGCATTCTCTCTAATGTCCACCAGGGGGTCGACTCCTCTGGTTGTATAGAAGTCTATGAGAAAATGACTACTTCTCTCTTGATGTATTCCCTCAGTAAACATTGGAAACATGAGTTTATGGTCTCAATCAATAGTTTCAAGTCTTCTTCAATTGCTTTAGGGCGGGACTACCTTGTGATTGACAGGTCGCTTCCACGGCATTGTCTGGTCTGGGAGTTGTCCATGTTTTCCTCTCATAACTTTAACCCTTTCAGTGTGTTTTCAGTACATGAAGGTTAATTGTAACATTTTGGTCGCCTAAATGTGTCTTTCAGGATTCGGTTGTACTTAGCTCCACCCTCTTGTGTCACTTCTGGTTGCAAAAAACAAGATGGCGACGGCCAACATGGCGAACCTGAGGCTTCAGAACTAAAGGGTGACGTCCCGGTGACTACGATCACTTCTTATATACAGTCTATGAGCAGACCACATACAATAATTAACAAGAGTTTGGCAAGTGTAGGGTTAAGTAGAAATCCTGTTACAGTAGTTTAGTAGTCCAGTTTAGGGCAGTTTGTTAATCGATAAGTAGTTTGTCACTTTGGGAAACTAGTTTATTTGCTTTCTTTCAGAGAGTTAGACCAGGAGAATGATACCTCTCTTATGTCTGTGCATGAGCTTAGCATATAGCCAAGAAACAGGTAAAGTGTAAAAAGCATAAGTTGTTGTTTTACTGAGGGTATGTGGACCATCTTTTGGTCGGGCCCGGTAACTTCCACATGCAACCTGGTATATAACTGTCCATAAAACCACAACTTGTTGTTTATACACTTGGGTTTCTATATGGATTAAACAAACAAGATACAAGAAGGTAATTAGTGAGCTCTAGAGTGTTCTTGGTGATTTCTTTTTCTTTAGGGCAGATCCATCCTAGATGTCTCTCTCACCATTTTCTTGTCTTTATGCTAAGCTAACCAGCTACTGCAGCCAGCTTCACATTTTCACCGTACTGACAGTTAGTCTTTTATTATCAAGTACAAAAACATTTGCTTGTTTCAGCTTGTCTAAACTGTTCTACATAATTGTAAGCTTTGGGTTTGGGATTGTTTGAAGATGTCACCTCAGGCTCTGGGAATTTTTGACATTTTATAGTATAAATGACTAATCCATTATTTATTTAGGATTGTTCTTTGCACCCCTAGTCCAGTTCCACACTCCACCACTGTGGCCTTTTGGATGGAGAAAATGACTGGCGTGTCTAAAGTAACTGATGACAGTGTAAAACTGGGTACTGTTGTGTATCAAGCAAAGGAGAAATGAAAGAGGTGTGGACATCAAGATCCACAAAGGGCAGAAAGGTTTAAAGCGAACTGCTGAAAGAAAAGAGAGAGACAGCGAGAGCTTCAGACCGAAGAAAGAGGGAGGGACCCCGTGCATCAATGCTGAGCAGTGATGGCAGTTTTGTAATTTGTGGTAAGGGTTGCTGGCTGGGTGTGCCCACTTTCTGCTATGAAAGGAGGAAGTAAAAGAGGAGAGCGGGCTGCTCTCTCATCTTCAGATTAAATGACTCAACAGGAGCTGTTAGGATGAGGGTGAGTCAGCTGCAGACACAGACAGACGGTGCTGAGTAGGATGGCTCACAATAGTACAATGCCCTGAATACTACCTTACTACCACCCTCCAGCCATGAGGTGATCCATCCTCAGCAGCTCCACCTCTCCCTGTCCGCTAATGAAGTTTGGGGTGCTATTGTATTTGACATGAGGTAAGAACAGTGCCATCGCCTCACCTGTTGGCTGTAGAAGGAAGCAGCAACATGTGCGGTGGAAACCGTGAAGTGAGCCAGACATTTCCCCAGCGAGGGATGACAGGGACTCACTCATGTCTGACTCACACAGACTCGGTCACAAACCTCTTCCTTTCCTTCCAACCACAGACTCTCTGTTGATAAAGGTGTTGTCTCAGAGAGAAGCCTGTTGTCTGTCTTTACTCCAGGTGTGGACAGGGTAAAACATCTGATCGGGTTAGGCCCTCTGATGTAGAGTTGCTCCGATACCAGTATCAAAAAGGCCTCCTATACAGTCTAAATTACTGGAGCGGGTGTAGCAAGTATGTGAGTCTATGCACTGATCGGATATCACGTTACCACTTCATTCATCAGCTCATTTACGCTACACAGAAACAACAGCATGTGCAACTGTCGACAGAGAGGAGAAAGAAGAGAGATGGCTCACTACTTAGCTACCTCCATCATCAGCTCCGGAAAACAAAACCATGGCCGCTTCTGAAATCGATGATGGAAGTAGCTAACGAGTGAGCCGCCTCGCTTCTTTCCCATCTCTGCTGAGAGCTGCATGTGCAACACGAACAGTGCCGATCTGACAAGTTCAGGTTTCGGATTTGGTATCGGGAAGGAAAAAAAAGGTATCGGAACATCTCCACTCTATGCAAATCTCAACTATGAATCAAATTAACAGCTAAGATTTGGGACCCAATCTATTAAAGCACCCTTTTGAGAGCCACTCATTCACTGCAGTGAGGTGATCTATTCTGTATGGGGCAGAGATGAACACAGGAATGCTATGTTCTCCTTGTTTTGTATTACAGCTCAGCAGAAAAACAAAATACTTGAATTTACTTGCAGTAGCTGTAAAATCCCCCGTGTTGTGAGCAGGTACGAGGCTACATGCAGGCACAGCCCATTAAACCCAGTGTCCCCGACCGTGAGACACAACCTCTAATGCTGTGGAGACCCAGCCACAGCCCGCTGCACGACATGAGCACAAACAATAGCCCTGTGTGTCTCTGTGTGTGTGTGTGTGTGTGTGTGTGTGTGCAGGATCAGCTCTACTATCCCACTAGGCCCGAGTTACATCCCGGCCCACAAAGTTTGGCTCGGACCGGCCCAGCTCTGCTCTGCTCTGCTCAGGCGGCAGGGGAACACAGAGAGCCCGGGGCCCCCCTCTGCACAGTCAGACCCCCTCCTCCCAAAAACAACCCACCTCAAATGTGGACAGCCGGAGACAAAAGCACTACGCCCCTGGACTCCAGGGAAACGCCTGAAAACACACTCAGTACTGTCCCAGACACCGGCGACTCTCCTCTAGGCTTATTTAACACTTGTTCAGAGACAACGGTGGACTCCAGTGTGTTTTCACCTCTCTTTCTTTACAAGCAGACTGTTTTTTTTTTTTGTTTTTTTTTACTGGGCAGCAACATGCTCAACTTTATTCGACCCTGCATGCATGCATACCTGCACTTTTCTCTCCATTATCACCACCTATTTGACATTGTACTCCAATCTTGGCTGCTGCTTAGCACCACTCGAGCTCATTTCTTCAAGAAAACCTAACTGGTATGCACAATCAGAGAGGGGACCACCTGGATGAAGGTGGAGCTGTGTTACAAACCAAAAAGGCACTCATTCATCACACGCTGTGTGCAGACGTCTCTCACTCACCTATGGACACCAGCTTAATGTTCTCCTTGTCCAGGAACTCCAGGGCCACCGACACGTTCTCCAGCTGCATCTGGCGAAAGGTGGGCCTCTGGTTGTACTTTCTGAACATCTTCTTCTGGGACAGGACCTCCAGGAGCCCGATGAGCCGCAGCCCATCGCCGAGGTCCGTCTGCAAGTTGCCGAGCCTCTTGTTGACGCATTTCAGGTGCTCGTTACACCAGCGGGTGAAGGTGTTCTGCTGGATCTTCTTCCACGGCGCATCCTCGGCCAGGTCCTTCTCCGTGGCGGGCATTTCTGCGTCCTTGTCCGTGGCGAGAGCGTTGGGAGCGGGCGCGGCGCTCTGGTGGAGCCGGGGGTGTGAACCACTCATTTTTATGGTCTCGGCTGTCTCTTGGTTCGCTGGCGTTCTCTCTGGGTGGAGTCTGCTCGACTCTGCGTGGCCGCTCCCTCCTTCTCTCCCTCACTTCGTCGCTCGTCTGTCTGAGAGGAAAGCAAAAGAGAAGAGAGGAGTGGACTCAGTGAGACTGACTTATAGCCCGGAGACAGAAATTTTACAAAGAAAAGTAGGCGGTTATGGCACCGGAGAGCAGAAAAGGGAGTCATGTTGGACGGAACTGAAGGTGCACGTGACATGCTCGCGTAAGGAGCCAGCTCCAACAAAATGAGACACTTTTTCATGTCCAGCACTCCCACTTTAAGAAGAGACTGTCCAACTGAAACTTCAAAGATGGCAGTCACTGATGTAAGAAAGCACAATCCGCATACTCCTCAACCCAATAAGTAACATAACAGTAAAGTTGTATTTTATTGGACATTGGTGTGATGAATCCAACTTTACAGCCATTTGAAATATACATACGTAGAGATGTCATGTATTTGAGCCTACTGCTCACAAATATTTAAAGTGTGTTTAAAGGTTTTTGTCTACCGGACTATGGATGCTATGGAAGACGATTAGGGCCACGTGGAAAATGTATTTGAGTTATGAGATCATCAAAAATGCTCCATGGGCCAACCCCAATGTCCCCCCTCCCTAAGGCCTTAGGTCCTGAACCCTCAGGGACTTAACTGACATCAACTGATAAATGGTTGAAAAATATCCTAAGAAGCAGACAGCACCCACAGAGACATTTCACGACAATGCCAAAACGTGTTATGTACACTTGTGGGGTTTTATTTGACATTTTTAACTGCCTGATTTGAAAGTCATCCAGGCTTACAGGATGTACGAGAGGTATTTTTTTTGTCAAAAGCAGCATCACTAAGCAAAATTAAAACAAAAAATGGTTGATGAAATAAACCAGGTGTGCAATATGGCCGCTGCTTGCATTCATCTGATTTCATGTGTTGTTGTTTTTTATATGTAGCCTACCATTTTTATACCTTAATGTTAATGGAGTGTTTCTGTGCCCCCAGTAACCCTGTGTTTTAATGTCACAAAGCTGAATTGTGGGTAATTCCCTCAGGAAAATGGAAAGGGCCCCCACGCACTTGCTGATTTGACAGAGGGACAGCCCCAAACCGTCAGCGGGAACACGCCTCAAAGTCTGAGTCTGTGAGTGTGGACATTGGGATTTGTCTGATAAGATGCTCTATAATAAAAGGTGACGCATTACAATTACAGCTGTACTGCCTGTCTCCTAAGTGGGCGTGGTCTGATGTATTTCTATTACCTAAATTAGTTTGCTAGAGCTTAACATTTCGACACAGTTTGGCTGACGTTAACACTAGACTGGTGCCGATCTGGCGAGAGTGTGTTGCTGAGACACACAGGTCTTGAAAAGGAATTCTGACTTTAAACTCAAATACATGTTTCACACGTGGCACTAATATTCTTCTGTAGGAAGCTGCAGTGAAAAGAATTCCCAGCCCTGACGTATCCCTGATTATTTGGGGATAGTCCTATCCCTCTTCCTCCTCCATCCCATCTTTTTTCACAGTACCGCTGTGGCTATTGGAGGAAAAGGGGGTTGTTTTCTGAGCCGGTAGAAACAAGGTGACACTGTGGCAGACATACAGAGATCAAGGCCCCATGTTCAGGGTCCCTGTTTAGCTCTTCTAATGTGCATGTTGATGAGTCCCGGGGAGCAGAGGAATAAATATTTGAGAGATCCAGTGGGATATGAGCACCAGCGACTCCCCAATAAGGTCACACAGATATGTTTGTTTGTGTCTGTTGGTTTGCATGCAGCTCTGTTCAACTTTCCTTTCCTGTGCAGAACCTTGTTTGTGTCTGCAAGCATGGACAGTGTGCTTATCTGTGGGTATATTGTTGGAGTATGCAGCCTAAATGTCAGCCTTCATCCCTGTGCATGTGTGTGTTTGTGTCATGTCACAGTGTGTGCAGCCTTATCTTTACAGAGGTTACAGTGTCTAGACACCAGCCTCTACCCGCCACCTCTGTTTGTCTTCACTGTAGCTTACTGACCAAACAGCCAGATGAGATCAGACTCCAAGTGTGCACTATATAATGGAGGAGGGGGTGGGGGGTTGTTTCATGAACTGAAGTGACAGTACAAATAGGAGATAAAGAGGGGATGAGGTGGCAAATATTATCATCCAGATGTCTTGCACGTGTTCCCATTGTCATTTCTGTTCTGTTGTCATACAACATAAAGCTCCTGGGAAAATGATTAGAAGGGACGCTCAGCCCATTCTACACATGATGTTCAGTTTATAGCTATGGGGGACAGCTTGCTCAGCCTGTGGAGACAGTTGTGTGATGTCCTCTGTGGCTCTGAAGAGACCTTTCTAAACTCTGAATGTGTGCTTTTGCACAAATTTGACCGCTGGACCGTGTGCGGTCTGCGTTTATTTGCCCCACACAGCCGATGTACAGACTGTATGAACATTAGCTGTAAGCTAGCTAGCAACATGCTCATCGGCTGTGCGTGGTGTGTGACAGCTCAGCCTCAGGCTGATCTCAGAGCTCATCAGGAGCTCCAGTTCTTTCTGTTCTTTCTCTTCAGTCTCTCTTCGTCTTCTTCTCGTCTCCGTATGTTCATGCAGCAGATTCTTCAGGTTTGCTTTGCGTTCTGTCAGAACACCATCTCGCTGTATGAGATTGTCATGAGAATTCAAATATTAGACAGAAAACCTGTGTTATAAAATGAGGGTGTGGAGTTGCATTATGGGAATTGTAGGATCCAGCCCTAAAGTCAGGATATCCCGACCTCTGCTGCTTCCCTTTTGACCATTGTTTTTTAAATCTATTATTCACAAGTCCCCTAACTTTGTGAGCTGGAGTGCTCCTTTAACATGACTAGGTAAAAAACTAAATTTCGTGCTGGGACTAACGGAACAGCAGTCGTAAAGACAGAAAGAGAGATGTGACTCTGCAGCTTGTCTGACTAAGCGAGGAGCTCAGTGCCAGGAGCCACAGTGAGGCCTGGAGCCACCAAGAGGGCTTTTCCTGTGTGTGTACGTGTGTCTGTGTGTGTCTGGTAAATGGAGAATCTTAAGAATGCCCCTCAACCCCATAACAACCCTGACACCCCAATAAAAGAGCCCTATCATTGTAACACACACACAGATACAATCCGGCACTAGCATGCTTTTCCGTTCTCTGGGCTATTTAAAATAATAGAACAATACATTTAGATAGTTTGGAGTAATTCAGCTCTGTTCCCTGTAGGCACGTCATTTTCATTCATTACGTACATGTATACTTGCAACAGTTTACAGGCTTTGGCCCTAATTAAAATGGAAAAGTTATGATGACAGTGGATGCCGATTGTGGCAGAGCAGGAAGGCAGGGCAGATTAACAGCAGCAGAATTTATTGGAAAGCTGACATGAGGAACTTAAGACACAGACATAAAGCTGTAAGTGAATGGATACATTGAAACAGACGTGTTTAGAGGTATCCTCTGTGGGTTTAATTCATACTGAATTTCAGAAAGCACAAGAAAGTAAGTAAGAGTGATACAACTGGTGAGATATTCACTTGTGGTCTATTGTTTCAATGGAATTTGCCAAATAAACAGGGGACAAAACACGGGGGCGGGGACAGAAGGAGCTGACTAAGACACATTAAGATGTCTCAGGATCTGAAGAGCAAGCTGTCCTCTCTGGCTTGTCATCTGGCTCCCTCTAGTGAGTATTTATAGTACTACATCTTCCAGTTTCTGTCTTTGAATTGGCTCATCTGCTACATTTTCTTTCCTCACTGTTTTGGAAATTGCACTCTTTTCATGTCCTCTTGGCACTTCTGCTTTTCTAAACGTATCTACTTGTTATTTGCCCCCCCCCAATTGCAAAAATAATAGTGATCTTTACATACATAATAATAGTTGTAATGTCCATATATATACAGGGAAATAAAAGTAACTAAGTACATTTCTTAAGTATATATATATAGGTACAAGTCTGTGGTACTTTACTTGAGTATACATGTTCTGTTTACATTTCTTTACAATAGCACTCCACTACATTAAATATTGTACTTTTTACTACACTACATTTAATTGCCTGATTGATTAGCTGTACTTAGTAGAGATGTTCCGGTACCATTTGTTCCTTTCCGATACCAATTCCGAAAGCTGGACTTTTGCAGTGGCCGATACAGAGAAATTTTCTCTCTGATATTCATATTGCTGTGAAAACATCTCCTTTAAACAACTAGATTTATTCAAGTTTCTCACCAAAAACTACATTTTACAAGACTACTTGTATACACATCATGATAACGTTACATGAACCTTCGCTCAATACTCATTTTCACTGAGTGGCGCTTGAACGCATCATAACGTTCGCTGTAAGCTCTATTGTATAGTCAAGCAGCATTGTGCTGCTAACAGCTCTCATTAACTAGCTCTCCTCCTGCTGATTTCAACACAGATGTATTAATATTGTAGCATTATCAGGGTAGAAATAGGGTGCGCAAGGGTTTTTAACCAGGTGTGTGTAGTCCTACCATGCACATGTGCAGTAGCTCTTGGGCAGGATGTACGGATCGGGAAGCGAGTGACACATGACATAAATGAGCTGTTGAATGATACGATAACGTTGCATTCAAAATATATTAGGAGATTATATAATACGATGCTTAAATTATTTTGCATTACGATTAAACTACTGTATAAAGTCCCTAATAGTGTCTGCACATGGACACATTACAACATCAAGTAATGCTTTTCAAGTGAAAAGATCTAAGTTATTTTGTGAAACACTGACACAGTACAGTCCTCACGGTACTACTTTAGTTACTGACCAGTTTTTCATCTACATGAGACAGTTACTTATATCAGTATTCACCTTCAGTTATGTTGACATGGTCAACGATGAAGTCTAATCCAGCAAGGTTTGGTTTAGGCACAAAAATCCCTCGGTTAGGTTTAGAGAAAGAGTAAGGATAGGTTACAAATCACAGCTAGGGTTAGGGTTATGGCAACATTGTGGTGTGGGCTCCATTTAGCCCACTATTTCTCTAAGTTTATGTGAGCTTTGTAGTCATGGTTACCATAAGAATGGTTACGGTTAGGGAATAATGTTATCTTATAGCTTGTTTGTTTGATCTGTACAAAGGTGTTCTGGGTTTTATTGGTGGACTATGCAGTGACTACCGCTAGTCTCTGCTGTGATGCCTGACATGTTTATTTGAATTAGTTTAACTTTGATTCTGAATCTACTTTGCTGTTGAGAGGATTGATACTACCCTTCCTACAATTTTGCCTAAATATGAAACTACTGTTGTGCCTATTCATTATGAAAGAGCGATGGCCAATGGAGAAACTCCAACCCTCGATCAATCAATGGTGTAACCACTCACTTAAGCCTCGGTTATACTCAGGCGCTTATAACTACAGACGCTCAGTAGCAAAGACAGTTCAGAAAGGAGACACCACACTGAGACTCAATTTCCTGTCACGTGGGTTTTGCCACTGCCCCACCCATTTAGGAGACATACCATTTAAAACCATTGCGGAGCTTGTAATGCGTCATTTTTGTTATTGAGCATCTTTCGTAGTAGTTCCATTAAAGCCAAAGTTACACTTGCGAGTATGTGAGGGTCTGCGTAACATAAAGTTCATCATCAGAGTATCAGAATTGTGTACCAGCAATTGTGAACCTATAGCCTGAAAAATATAGTGCTTATTTTAAAGAACAAACAACATGGAATGCCATTTTTAATACAGCATCAGCCTGCAATGATGCTACTGTTAGTACATCAGCCTGCAATGATATTAGTACAGTACCAGCCTGCAATGATACTACTATTAGTACAGAACCAGCCTGCAATGATATTAGTACAGTACCAGCCTGCAATGATACTACTATTAGTACAGAACCAGCCTGCAATATTAGTACAGTACCAGGCTGCAATGATACTACTATTAGTACAGTACCAACCTGCAATGATACTACTATTAGTACAGAACCAGCCTGCAATGATATTAGTACAGTACCAGCCTGCAATCATACTACTATTAGTACAGAACCAGCCTGCAATGATATTAGTACAGTACCAGCCTGCAATGATACTACTATTAGTACAGTACCAACCTGCAATGATACTACTATTAGTACAGAACCAGTCTGCAATGATATTAGTACAGAACCAGCCTGCAATGATACTACTATTAGTAAAGTACCAACCTGCAATGATACTATTAGTACAGAACCAACCTGCAATGATACTACTATTAGTACAGTACCAACCTGCAATGATACTACTATTAGTACAGTACCAACCTGCAATTATACTACTATTCGTACAGTATCAACCTGCAATGATACTACTATTAGGAGAGAACCAACCTGCAATGATACTATTAGTTCAGTACCAGCCTGCAATGATACTACTATTAGTACAGTACCAACCTGCAATAAAACTACTAACAGTAGTACATTACCAGCCTGCAATGCCAACAACCTTCTCATCATCACTCACCACACCCGATCAGCCACAAGCTGAGCAGCGCAGAGCAGAGCTCAACAAAGGAAGTTAGATGAACGTTGCATGAAGCACCACTAACCACAAGACGCACACATAGAGTGATGCGAGGAAAGAGAAAGAAGTGAGATGCACAGATTACAGCAAAGCCATGGCTTCTGCCTCTGTGTGTGTGTGTCTTTTGGTGGCACTTGTCGGGTGAATGTAGGCCAAGAAGTGTCAAATATTCAATATTCAAAGCCTAGAATCTTCAAACACATTTTTCTTAACCGTGTTTTAGACGAAGGGTGTACCGGAATGTTCTGACCAAACAGCATGAAACCATGCCAGAAAAGGTTGGAATCAACTTCACCATGGGAATAAAAGAGGCACGTTCCAACCTTTCAGTCTGTTTTAAGAAAATGAAAAGAGAGGAGTAACATTGGGGTTAAGATAATGATGAATTTGGGGGCAGATATCATCACGATTTCCAATTGAGACAGTTTTACTCATGACAGTAATACAATTAATCTTATTAGATTTACCTGATCAGATTCAGAATCAGCTTCATTGGTCTAGTATGTGTGCACAGGAATTTAACTATGTTTTTTTTGCATTTCTCCCAATACACTAACAAAAAAACAGCTGTGAGCTGGATAAATAAAGGTAAAGACGAGACAGGACTGTTATGTAAATGTGTGAAAAAAAGGTGTGTAATTAATTAATGTGCAATGATCAGTTCAGAACACCAACCAATGAATTATGTTCTTCTGGAGGGACATATTTTACCATCTTTTTGGATGATTGAAGTCCTGAAGTCACACCCCACCCATGATAAAGCAACAATGTGCCGTAATGATATTAAAAAGGGTATTTGTGTCGAAATTAATAAGTGAAAACAAGCAACATATACAGTAAATACCTAAATAAAACACACATATGGTCTCTGGTTTCTTTATGAAATAACCAAATATATTTTCTGCACCTTTGTCATCATTTTCATCTCAACATGTATCGTGTTCAGCTTTTTATTGATTTTACTGTTGTTTTATTACCATTTGTCATCATAATATTCAAATAACTGATCGCTTTCTTTTAAATGTACGTAAAGCCCTTTGCAACTTGTTTTGAAAAGTACTTTATAAATATTGGCATTATATTATTATATACATATATACACATGTGTACAGTACATACATAGGCTAGACACACACATATTTAAACATTAATGCTTCTTTAGAAGTTCCAACAAGTTGTCTTACTTTAAATGTGTTAAATAAAGTATGGCTCCGTCATTTGATCGATCACAAACAATTCATAGAGTAGAAGGTATAAAAAGCTAAATAGATTTAGAAATGTGAGGGTCTAAAAGTCTTCACCTGGCTATGAAGAAGAGCTTTAACAATAAAAGCAAGTTTGTATGAGTGAAGACCCGCAGTGACATGCTGCATGTTCAAAACTCATGAAGGCCAGTTTTTATTGTTAAAGCTCTTCTTCATAGCCAGGTGAAGACTTTTAGAC